GTTGCTCATCGATGATCTTTTCATCAGTTTACGACTCCTCTCAACCCACTCATACCACACGGAGTTGTTAGAGGTCTATCTCATTATATCAAAAGATTTAAAACCAGTGTCGAAATATATCCTATTTTTCTCATGTTTTGCAAGCAATCGTATGAATGGAGAGGGAAGAAAGAAAGATATTGGAAGGCTATAACAGAAGGTGATGACTAAGGGGATGAAGAAGAAAAAGATGGTTTCCCGGCTGGAGCTACTGGAAGAAGAAATAAGAAGGTTGTTTCTCTCTCCTAGAAAGTAGAAGAGAGGTTCTATGGGGATGTGCTTTTGGAGCATTTGTTTACTAGATATTTGCTTAATACTTTTTGAAGAACAAAGCATTTTGATAAGAAATGAGAGACTGAGAAAACCTTAGTTGGTCCAGTTAAGCAAGGTTATCTCTCTTCTTGAAGCCTATTGTTAGAAAATTCATTATTTTACAGGAGTGTTGTGTCCAATTAGCACTACACCTTTGATTGCATGTTGGCATAGTTCTGATATTAGATTCTGTTGCTTTTGTGTTATAGTTACCTGATTTGTAGCATTCCCTTGCTAATCATCTTAATATCTGCAGAAAGGATATCCCTCTGATGCTGCTGCATATAGTGATCCAAGCATCATTGCTGACAGGCTTCCCATTGTAATGCAGAAGACTCAAAAACTCCATGTTGGAGTGTCCTGTAAGCAATAGTATGATCCTAGATTTGTGTCTTAAGATCTTTTTCTTTTACCCGCTTTTATGGAATTTAATATACATTCTTCTTTTTTTTATACTCAAGGCACTACAGCTTTGATTGCATATTGACATAGTTCTGATGTTAGATTGTGTTGCTTTTGTGTTATAGTTACCTAATTTGTAGCATTCCCTTTGCTAATCTTCTTAATATCTGCAGAAAGGATATCCCTCTGATGCTGCTGCATATAGTGATCCAAGCATTGTTGCTGACAGGCTTCCCATTGTAATGTAGAAGACTCAAAAACTTAATATTGGAGTGTCCTGTAAGCAGTAGTATGATCCTAGATTGTTGTCTAAGATCTTTTCATTTACCCGCTTTTATGGAACTTAATTTACATTTTGTTATTTATCCTCAAGCAAGTTATGAATAGCACAACCTGGAGTGCTTTTGCTTTGTCCTTCATTTGAATAGTTGATCTTTCCGCATTTAAGTGTGTGTCATCTGGATTTCTGGAGCGATCCGTACTGCATGCAAAGAGTGCAAGAAAGTGGTTGGAGCATCAGAGAAATGGGAGTGTAATGGTAGAGAAGCGAGAATAATCACTCTTTTCTAACAATAATCAAAAGACATTTTGACCCCAAAATCTCTTATCCACTTGGAACCTTCTCACTTGAACCTTTAATAGAATCTTTAACTGTAAAAGCTCTCCATGTGAAGCTTGAATGACTATCATAGAAGTCCTAAACAGCGGACAGAAATGATATTGTGCACCTCATGTGGGCAGGTGATAGTGGAGAGTCGATTAGTATTCATGTTTCGCCTGATAGAGTGGACTCCTGTGCTGAGAAATGGTCAATCCCAGCATATGTTTTGTCATAATTCTTCCCTTAGAATAACATCTGGCAACGAAATGAATATAGTTTGTGAAGTTGCTGATAAAGAAGAAGCTGTATACCAACAAAATAGCTCCCATCAGCAAATTACCCAATATTTTCAATATTACTTTATTAGAACTTTTCAAGCGACATATTTCAACTTTTGGACATGGGTCCAGTTGTATGAATACAAATTCCATTAGGGGTTGACCGGTTGATGGGTTATTATACTACAAGATTCTTTAATTTTACCATTATTGACCCAATAATTTGAATTCTAGTTAGAATAGATGATAGTTATCTTTCAATATATGAGCGATCGTGAGACGGGAGTATGGTCAACTTCTTTAAGATCTAGATGGAAGATTCACACCAAAAATTCACAGAAGTTGTGGGGGTGGGTGAGGTTGCAGGGCTAACGCTAGCCCCTCTTCTTTCTGTGTTGCCTCCAAATCCATTATGGGGTACTGTTGGAATAGGAATATAAATACTATTTGTATTTAGTATCCTACTTGTAGATGTATGTAAATACACAATATGATTATAATATTTTTCTCCTATATTTCTCTCATGACATTAGAGCCATCATGGAATATTAGCACTGTGCATTCTTTTCGGGTGACTGAAAATTATTCTGGCATTGTCAGACAACCATAATATGGTTTATACAGGTGTTGTTCAAAATCGGATAACAATATCAGGTCTCGGGCATCTCTCTGCAACCAAAACCAACAAGCACCGTTGTGAACTAATGTCCCACACACTGATCAAAAGGTTGTCACGTCCGACGAGATCTGCCAAGGCGCAGACACGTGAGGCATGTTCCAACCAGTTTTTTGAGCAATTCTTTTTCTCATAGGCTCGCCCAATCCGTGTGAGCCTTTCCATCAAGTTTGTTTTGGATTTAGATCACCGGAACCCTAATTTGGTGACCTCTGCCAATTTTCCTGCGCATTTGCCAATTTTTTTTATAGGGTTTCACACGATTTTTAGACCGTAAGGTGAGCGATGCAATCTACACACTAGGCTAGATGGTATTATGAGTGAATTATCTCACAGTGACTAGACATGTCATTTTTTTTCTTGTGAGTGTTGTATGTCAGTTTTGGATTCTTCCTCTGATAGCCATTTACATGGAATTCACATATATGATATATAAAATCCACTGTAGTTAAAGGACTCCTTTTTCGAGGATCAAGGTCATGAGCAGATAGTTGTATATACGAACACTGGTTGGGCAGGGATCACCTTACAAACGCTGATTGGACAGAGATCACCTTCTGATAGACGTTCTACATTCAGATATTGTGTTTTAGTAGGACGTAATTTGGTGTCCCGGATTAGTAAGAAACTAAGTGTGTTTGCTCGATCTAGTGCAGAAGCAGAATGTGTTTGCTCGATCTAGTGCAGAAGCAGAATATCTAGCAATGACTATAGCAACTTGTGAGCTAGTTTGGATTAGAACAATTGCTTAGAGAACTAAAATTTGGAGAAATCAGTCAGATGAGACTTATGTGTGATAACCAAGAGGCCCTTCATAAATCATCACATTATATCCAATATTTCATGTGAGGACTAAGTACATTGAGATTGAGCGTCACTCTGTTAGAGAAAAGATTCTCTCCAAAGATATTGTAACAAAATTTGTGATGTCGAGGGATCAACTTGTAGATATTTTCACCAAGTCTCTCACTACTCTCCATATTAATTATAGCTGTAGCTAGCTCGGTACATATGATTTGTATGCACCAACTTGAGAAGGAGTGTTAGAGTAGGAATATAAATATGATTTGTATCCAAGTATCCTACTTGGAGAAGGATTGGCATGTAGTGTATACCGAATAGGGCTCAAAGTAAGAATGTAAATATACAATTCAATAATAATACGTTTCTCCTATATATCCCACAGGTACCGATGATTTGTTTCGAGAGATTAGATGTTTAGTATTTCCTCAAAAAGGCTAAACAGAAAGTTCGTAGTATTCAGTAAGAAAAAAAATGTTTGACAGGAACGGCTTCGAGGTGCTCAATACTTGAAAAAGGAGAAGCTACAAGTTTCAGTTGTTGGTAGCTGTGAGATATGTTATCAAACATGGATTATGTCACTCAGGATTGTAAGTGCATTACATAGAACTAATATTTGGTGCTTTAGTAAGATGTGTAATTATAGCGCTATATCTTATATATTACATAATATGAAATTTAGATAGATGATGACTATCAGATATCAAAGATATGTCTTCAAATGTGTGTCAGTAAAGATATATAGAAGAGTGTTTATGGGTACTCACATGATGTTTTTTAGTGTCAATATCTCAAAGCATTTAGTAGAGAGAGCTTGTGATGTATGCTGAATATTTTAGGTCTTACTTTGGCTGATTTGGCATTAAACTAAAGATGAATCATCCATACATGATTTCATTTGGGGCTGTTAGTTTTCAAAAGGTCGTACAAGAGGTGCAAGTAGTGGCTTTCTTTTTGTACTCTGCTGATGTCGTGTAGCAGTAGAACTTTGAAGTAAGTGTTAGAGAAGGCTTGCTAATATTTGCTAATTAGTAGGGGTTTAGATTTCTCAGTTCTGTTCACCTGGGACGTGAAAGTGAAGAATCGGTCAAACTGACGTGTTGAAAGTACTAGCTTGAAGGTCAAATCGTTCTATTTTCAATTTAGTATGTGATATCTTAGGCATGAACATTGTTCACCACCATCCAGAGAAAAAGAAATGATGGAAGCAAACAAAAAAAATTGAGAGATTCATTTCCTTCTCCTACATCTTTTATGAGAAGGAAATGGAAATTTTATTAAGGTTCCCCCCATAGTTTCCATCTTCCACTAATGCTGCGAAACCAGTGTGTTGCTCAATGCACTCTCTCACTCCCTTGCAAATATATTAGTTATCTTCAAACTTAATTAGTAAAGAATGTTTGAATGTAGTTGCTTTTCTTTAACTTCTAGATAAAATTCGTCCAACTTCTTGTAGCATAAACATGGTACTTTCTAGATTACAGATCATAAATAGAAAAGAAGACTATAAACACAAGCTAGAGAACCTTCTGTTATATATATGATGGAGATTTGGTGTTATGCTGTTCCAGGTGCTGTAGGAACAAAAGCACTAACATTTTACACGTTTGGTTTCATATCTGGACATGAGAAAAGCTTGAAATTCTTGTTATTGATCTTACACTAGGGTATGGAAAAAATCCTGATATTAGAGAGCTGTACTGCTATAGGATTCTTTTTCTCTTAATTGTTGCCCAAAGTTCATCAAAATAGTTCATGTACTGATGGACTGAAGCTGTAACAGATGGACAAATAACGAGATCCATGTGGGACAGGTAACAACAACAATAACAACTATGCCTCAGTTCTTCAATATTTGGGGTTGGGTTGACTATATGGATGAGGAGAACAATTACAGCTTCAGATTCAGGTCAAGCTTAGTGGGATTTGTGGTATGGTCTTTTGTTTGCTGCTGATTTAGTTGAAAACTTCCAGGCCACTTCAGATCAAATGATCTGTCCATTTGATTGGTAAGCGATGTCCTCTGATATCCTGCGCTAGCCTCACTGAATGTAGCCGCAGTTGCCCTTGCATCTCTGCTGGATTTATGCAGAAGGGAGTGGGGAATCATACCAAGTGATCTGAACATGGGGTTATTGATCGGCAAAGCCATCATTGTCATCATCCTCTGAGATTGATACTGTCTTACTGTACCTCTTTCCCTCTTGTGAGCATTTTGGTGGCCTCCTAGTGCCTGTGAACTGTAGAACTTCCTCTTGCAGAAGTTACATGAAAAAACCTTGCCTGAAGTTGGTATATGTGACTCAGATTCTTTAGATATCGAAGGCAAGTTTCTTCCTAAGCTCAAATTCAACCATTCTCCTTGATCAAGCACAGAAGTGCCTTGATAGCCATCTTCAGCACGTCTCATTCTCGATCGTATTGTAATTGAGCAGAAGTTTACTTTTTTCTTCTACCACAATTTTCACTGAAGAGCCAGCTTGAAATTTTGTGGATGTACAAAGGTGCTTTCTGGAGATACTAGCCAAAAGGACTTTTAAAGGGCTCCAGACAGACAGGCAAGGAATATAAAGAGATCTCACAAGCGGTGAAGGTCAGATTAGATAACCATGATTGATCATATCTATTTTCACTGTCCCCTCCAGCTGATGCTTGGTGTTCTAGGGGACAATGCTTAGATCATGTTTCACTGCAGTCTTTGTCAAGTCTAGATTCCCCACTGATATCTCTCGCCTGTTGAAATGGTTCTAACCTTTAATTAGGTAACTATTAAAGTAATTCTACCTAATTATGCAGAAGGTAGAATAAGATTACCTCTCCTTGACGTAGTATTTATGAATTCTTTTGATATATCAAACTTTAATTTCCACTAGAGTTACTAAAATAAACCAGCTGGATATTTTCTTTATAAATAAGAGATAAACAAGATAGACAATCCAGTTTTGATTCCATTTTTGGTCTCATCATATTTCTACAATTTGTCGTCTTCCGTGGTTTTGCTGCTTCTATTATTCGTTGTAGCTTATAGATACATTTGTTTATGATCGTTCCTTGTAGCATTTTATGACTTAGAAATCACGCAAGCGGCTTTGTGAGTTGACACATGCCTAAAGGTAGGGTTTTTTAATTGACCCTGACTGCCTGAAGCTTTTAGTTTAGTTTTGTTATACTATCAAGAACTAGATAGCTTATACGTTAACACTATATCCAAATGCTTCATTAGGCTGCACAATGTGTTTTCGTCATTTCCCCTGGGTTTTTTTTTCCTTTTTTGTGCGCTGTTACACTGCAGAAACTTTCATTATCAAGTAGGTGACAATTATTATAAAGATGGAAACCCTACTGCAAAAAGTTATTTCCTGTATGAAAGAACTAGTGTATGAGAAGTTTTTGAACAGAATGTAGATGTTGGAGTGAGTGGTGGCAGTGTGTTATACTACATTAAATTAGAATGTGATTGATGTACATGTTGTGAAGTGGTAGGGCCAAAAGTGTGGCAATAATGGTAATAAAAAATAGGAAAAAGATGAGAGAGAATCTTGTGGACAACTTTGTTTAGTATTTTCTTCTGAAGGTGGAGTATCTATGTGGCTGTCTTCATGTTGGGGTTTCTTTCCTGACATCTTGTGGCCATAGTATATGAACAGTAGAAATCCTTATTCACCATGCAAGCAATTTTTTTCTGTTCAGTCAGCCAAAGCATTTGTGGCAGAGATACTCAGTATTTGTGTTGTGTAGGCGGGTGAAACATGGTTGGTTGAACCCCTTTGTTGGGAAATGATACCGTATATATAAGTTAAATATTACTTTTTATACATATTCAAATCTTCAACACCTTTAATGGTACTTGGTGGGATCGTCTTAGCACTCAAGCTACATGCTGAGGCAGAGCTAGAAGTTGTAGTTTTTGTTACATTCTGGAATGAATAACAAAATATATTCAAATTTAAACATAATATGGACAAGTTTTTATAGTATTACTCTAAAACTTAAAGTAAAAGTATATTCAAAACAATAAAACATTAAGGGGTCGTTCGGTAGTGCATTAGGAAAAATAATACATACATTAGTCTTGTGTAATATTAGTACCTTGTTTGGTACTCTTTTTCAACCTATGTATAACTAATATGTATACTCTATTGTGTATGAAGGTGTGTGTTACTAATATCCATCGATGACTCCCTAAACTCGGCACCAATTTTCACTTAGACACCTCAACTAGGAGATGATCATTTAGATGTTCATTTAGACACCTCATGTAGGGTTCTATTGATTGTATCATATTTACACTTTTCTGACAAAAATGTAAAGGAGGGTAATACAGTCGTTGATGACATGGGAAACAATTAATTAAATAATTATGTGTTATTTTCAGTTTAAATAATTATAAAATTTATTTAGTAAATAAATTTAAAATATTATTATTAGAAAATCTCTTATTTTATTACACTCAAAATCTCTTTTATGCTTTTTCAAAAAATATATTCTTTTCTTTTACTATTGTTCATATTTATTCATCTTCTTTCTTTTTAGTATTGTTTTTTGAAAGAAAAGAGGGAAAAGAAGAAAGAAGGAGAGAATAAATATGAAATATGGGTGTTGGTATCCATTTTTCTGACAAAAAATGGAGGGAGGTGATGGTATATTTAGATAAGTAATACAATGAAGAAGAAGAAAATGACTTTAAAACGGATTTGAATAAAAAATTTGACCTCCATTGAAGGAATCTAAGCTTGAAAAAAAGATAGGGGGTGGTGACTTGAAAAATGGTGGAGAAGAAGAGAATAAAATTGAAAATGGCTAAATTAAGTCTTTCACACGCTATTGTTGAATGTATCACACTTACTTTGACATGTCAGCAAAAAGTATCAAAATGAAACAACAGAATCTTACATGAGGCGTCTAAAATGAATATCGCCTAATTGAGGTGTCTAAGTGAAAATTGGTGCCACTGATGGATTTGACCTTACTAATATCATGAATTTCTCGATATTAGCTATGCAATGGTTTCAGTGCAGGCATTAGCATGATCAAAAGACTTACTTGCTTCTCAAAACTTTCTTTACATATTTTTCACCAAAATAGTGGAGGGTATCTTTATAAATAATTTTTTCATGCAATGTATGCTATTTTAAAGTATCAAATCAACAATGTATAAAAATTATTTATGTATAATCAATGCAAGTGTTATTACTGCAGCTATTGATAATGCATGTATTACTAGTACATTCTGTCACACAATCCCTAAGTGTGTCTATCCAATTGTACATGATTAGGGGTGAAATAAAACCACTTAATCCATATTAAATTAAAGGGATCACTCATATTTTTTTTCCTTTTCTTAAATGGGTTAATATGATCTTAAACTTATTTAAGCTCATATAAATATGGACAAAATGGATTAACATGAGAATTCATATTTAGCTCGTATAAGTAAAATGAAGCAGATTTTTTTTTTTTTGCTTTTGCAAAACAAAAAATTCAAGAATCGGTTGGTGGAAGATTTGGGGGGGGGGGGTAAATTATTTTATTTTTTTGAAAAATAGATTCTTTTTTATTTTTATTTTTTTTCCAAAAATTAGGGGTAGGTTAGTGTAAGGTGGGGGGAGGGGAGGGGGCACTAGATCTTCTTTTTTTTTTTTAAGAAAAGCAGATTTTTTTTTTAATTTTGAAAATTTTTTTTTTTAGGGGTAGGTTGGTGGAGGGAGGGGGGAAGGAGGTAAATTTTTTGTTTTTTTTTTACAAAATAGATTTTTTTTTTATTTTTGGAAAACAAAAATTTTTTAGGGGTAGGTTGATGGAAGGTAGGGGAGGGGTTGCCAATACGATTTTTTTTTTGTTTTTTGAAAAACAAATTTTTTTAAAGGGTAGGTAGGTGGATGGGGAGGGGTTACGAGGGATAAGGGAGTAGGGGGGGGCGGTGCTCGGGTGGAGGGGTTACGAGGGATAGGGGAGTAGGAGGGGTAATTTTTTTTTCTTTTTTTACTTTTTGAAAAAATAGAATTTTTTTATTCTTGAAAACAAAAATTTTTTAGAGGTAGGTTGGTGGAAGGTGGGGGAGAGGGAGGGAGTGAGGGCATGGGTTGTGGTGGTACCCCAAGGGGAGGGGGTAGATTTATTTTTTATTGAAAAATAGATTTTTTTATTTTATTTTTTGAAAACAAAATTCGTTTAGAGATAGGTTGGTGAAAGGTGGGGGTATGTGTTGGGAGGGGTAAACTTTTTTTTTAAAAAAAAAAATTATTTAAATAGATTAGAACCATTTTGCGAAAATCATGTTTTTGACCAAATATAAATTATTTAAATCCTTTTTAGCAAGTGCTTGGTGCTGTGAAATACCCTTGGCTTTGGTGGATCATTTTCTCAAACATATCTTCCCTTCGCCTTCTTACTGCAATATTTTCATAACAGGGCTCCACATTTTGAATGAAGGTAATCTTATCGGAAGACATCAGATGAAAATGAGATATTGTCGCTATGGAACTAGGCAAAAGCAGCTTCTAATAATCTGCGGTTCTTGAAAAATGCAACAAATAATCATCCTTCGAATCGAATGGAACTCCCAGAATTTTGATCTAAGCATTCGAATTCTGAATATTGATCAAAGTCAACTCAAAAGCTAAATTTCCCAATTTTATAATTGAAGTACTCAAATCTTCAAAAAGACTCGAACATTGAAATAGACAACTCTCGCTACTAAGATTTCACATTCAGGGATGATGGAATTGAAAATTTTCATTCTAACACTTAAAACTCTGAAGGACTACAAAAATTACTTCCTTAACAACTTAGCCTTTTAAATTCATAAACTTACCAAATTTTTAATTTTTAACTCAAAGTTCAAAATCAATTATTTAAACTCAGATATAAAAGACTTAAAATTGATATTGGGAGGAATGAAACGGTAAATTCATGAAACTTTTCAAAATGACCGACCGGGTCATTGCTTATGATGATAGTTGCTGATAAATGAATGGTAATTGGTCTTCATTGTAATTTTTTTCATGAATTACTTTTCAGTAATCATAAAATTGTTAAAGATTAGAATAATTTGGATCTACTTAACTCTATACTAAGTTGGTTTAGTCTTACGAAAAAGAGAATGTATTTTTCTTTAGTAGTTTGACATTTGAAACAGTTAAATTGAAATATCAATGAAGTGCAAACAAATACGACTCAAAGATAATAATTATTTGAATATTGTCAAGCTCAAGATTTTTCAATAAAAAGTAAATTTTTTGTGATTGGTATTATAGAGACTATTTCAGTCCTAATTTCCCTACCAAAAATGATGTATGACATTCGTGTCTCCAGGACAATAGTAAGACCCTCCATAACATCAAATAACCAAGTGTTTCATCCTATTTGTGCACATTTTCTAATAGTATCATCAAAAACTAAAATACAAAT